GATAGTCCAGAGACCAAAAAGCCAGTATTACAAGATTCAAGACCTATTCAAACGGAAGTAAAGGATAATAGTGTACTACATGAATCGGATAATCTAGAGGATGATTTACTGAAACAAAATCAAGAAGCACCCCTTAAAGAAAATCCAAGTTCCGATAAATTTGAAGCAAAAGGTGAGAAAGTATATTTGAATCAACACAGCAATTAACATAATAAAGGTTAATTTATCCATATTAATTTTAGATGCATCTCCACAAGTGACAATTTTACAAGACCCAAATTATATTGAATTCGAAATAAAAGACAAAGTACCGCTTAATGCATCCCAAGAATCAAATAATCTAGAAATTGATTTACAAAAGCAAAATGTAGAAGATTCTCCTCAAACTTTTCAACAAATTTACGATCAATTGGCAATAAAAGGTGTTTTCAGTAACGATTCACAAAATATGCCAGCTGACAATTCTCGACTTGATGAGACAAGTAGTGAAACACAACAACCAGTGTATGATGATGCAATGACCTTTCAGAAAATCCAAGAAGAACTGATAAAGAGAGGTGATATAGATAATAATTCACAAAGCATTCCATCTAGTATTGGGCCAGAAAATAATAATACACAACAGTTCACAAATTATAATAATCCTGTAATAATGTCAACTGTGTCTATTTCCCAAATTAACATTGAAACACAATTCACGAATTATGAGAATAGTAGTCCTCAATTCAGCATTGGAACATATAGTAATACTCCACCAATCACAACGTCGGCTGGAACAGGCACACCTATTTCTGAGGCAGATTATAATACTCCATTGTCCACAAATAACGAAATTTATAATCCCGCAACAATTCTAGGCACGTCTACATCTCAATTTAGCTATGAAACGAATAAAAATTTTTCATCTTCCGTAACAATAGATACACCTCAATTTGACAATACTTTACCTTCAGTAACAATAGATACATCTCAATTTAACAATATTTCACCGTCTGCAACAATAGATACACCTCAATTTGACAATACTTTACCTTCCGTAACAAAGGATACATTTCAATTTAACAATACTTCGCCGTCCGCAACATTAGATACATCTCAATTTGACAATACTTTACCTTCCATAACAACGGATACATCTCAATTTAACAATACTTCGCCGTCCGCAACATTAGATACATCTCAATTTAACAATACTTTACCGCCCGCAACAATGGATAAATCTCAATTTAACAATACTTCGCCGTCCGCAACATTAGATACATCTCAATTTAATAATACTTCACCGTCTGTAACAATGGATACATCTCAATCTCAATTTATCAATACTTCACTGATCGAAATTGAACAAGGTACACAAACCGCTCAGACCGAGCATGTTTCTACATCAACCATTCCGATAGTATATAATACAATTCCGACAGAACATGCTACATCTACCATTCCTATTACTTCTACAAAGCCAGGTTCTACCACTTCAGAAATTGTTACTCTTCTAAGTTCTGTCTCTTCTCCAAAAATAGAGCCAATAGTCGATTCTACTGTTAATATTCCAGTTGTAGATTCCGATACTGATTATATTGGTTACATTCCAAATAATGAGCCTACTTCGGGCTATATTGACCTTAGAAATAAATCAAACAATAATGCAAATGAAGATTCTGATTCCACACATGATAATTCACAATCTATCGCTCATCCTCTTGATGATTCCAGCAATAAACCTGCTTCGTATCCTGAGAGTAATTTTGAAAATAATAATACTGAAAAAGTATCAACAGGAATTAATAGTTCAGATTCTTCTGAATATGTTGTCGATGCCAAAGATTACCAATTGGATCCTCATTTTCGCTCGCAGCCTACGGGGATATTGTCCAAAGTAAAAAACATGTGGCCATTTACGAGTGGAAAAGATGAGGATAAATATGGAGAATATGTTAAAGTTACATTTCATGTGCATTTACCTCAATACATTGAAAGATATGGCGAACCTGTGATATTGGGTAATTGTAAGGAGTTGGGGGGTTGGACAAATATTACAATTCAATTAACACAACCACATAAACGAGAATTTCCAACTTATTGGCGATCACACCCTGTAGAAATACAGATAGGAGGGAATGAGATTAAGTATAAGTATGGCATCTTTTCTAATCAGAATGTGGACTTCGAAGGGGAAGGTGAGATGCAAAATCGCACTTTGGACACAAGAACAAATGATCAATATGACATATGGCGAAACAATCGTAGCCATAATATCTTCGACCTTAGAGAATTTGCGTTCATTAGATGCATTTACGATGCAGTAAATATTGAAAATCTTAAAGACAAAGTTATGCAATTCCAAATATTGTTGGAAAATTATAGAGATTTCGCATTGAAATTCCTTACTATCGACTTTATAGCACAACACTGTCACGATAAAAAATTTGAAAAACGACTTTTTTTGTGCGTTCTCTTAGGATATTATATTAAGCACCGTAAGGATCCACGCTCTTTCATTTTTCAATTGCCAACAAATTTTCGGTCTAATCTGTTACTCGAAGCGCTCGAATATGTACAACATGACACATTCACATCTGATATTCAACCAATAATGGTTCCGGTTGTATCAGCCTTAGTTCGTCATAATGCCATTGTAATAATATCATTTGAATGGCTTAGAATCTTTCGGGTGGCACAGGTCCTTGATCCAAGATACACTTTTGTCGATGGATTTATTGGTGCTAATTATAATAAAGACCGCATATCTCGCTTGTTAAAAGAATGGCCTAAATTAGTCGTACCTTACTTGGATAAAGTAGATGAACATATTTACATCAAAATCGCTAAGGTATAATCTTTATATCATATTTTAATAGATTGTATAAAAGTAAAAGCTTTTCCTAATTGATTTTTATAATTTTCATAGTGGTTGATGTCTTTTTGCTTAGATATGGAAACACTTAATATCATATGGCGGGATAACATTTACCACACAAGAAGTATCGATAATGAAATTTTAATCGATTTCAGTGGAAGTGTTCATAAAATTATTGCGCATGACGATGCCAGTGCTTTGTACGTAAATTATACAAAGGTCGTTCCTGAATATCGAGCAATAATTTCTGGTCTTTTCCGTGAACGTATAGTGAATTTACTTAAGACTCAACAAGGCGGTTGGGACCAAAATAATTTGCAAGCACTTGGAAGACTTTTGAAAGATAAACAGTTGTATTCTGAAAGAGATCATTTTCTCAATGCTATGGATTACGTCTCTCTATCCGCAGTCTTCAATTTATTGAACTTGTTTCCAGATCTTCTGGAATATTGGATTAACTCCAAATTTTCTAATTCAAGATCACCAGATGTTCTAAGAATATGCCAGCAATGGTTTACACGTATAATATCAAATCTTAATTATAATCATAGTATGTCATTAAATGAAGGAGGAAGATTTATATATACTGTCTATGAGCATTTAACGCGCCTAAAGTCTTTACTTAATGATAAATCAAAGATTTATCAAGAATTATTGTATATTGCTAGTGAACGAATTAAAAAATGTTCACATAATCATATTCTCTTTGCAACAGTTCAAGTAGGGGTGTTGAACAAATCCATTACTGAACATTTTCGCGACCTGGTTACTGAAAACATTCTAGTTGCTAGAAATATTAGGAATCCTGATAAAAATCTTATGGATATGATCTGTTGGATTTGTGGTCAAGAAAATTTAGATAAATTAGATGTTCCAAATAGGTGGGATATTATGTAAACTATGCATTGAATTTTATTTTTTATTTATATACTAACATGCATGATAATTTTATTAAATAGTCTTAGCGAAAACCTTTTATGTTACATTATGAACTGTTTGGAAAGTCAAGTTTCTCATATTCCTGACCAACAATTGGATCTCATCAAGCACACAGATTTCTGGCGAATAATCTTTAATGCGAGAGGCAATGTTACAAATTTACATAGACATTCACATGTTACAAGAATGCGATCAACCAATTCTAATCTAGCAGGCTCGATTGTTGACAGAACTATTGATATTAAAACACTACAAATAATTTTATCAAAGTATAATTATCAACTGTACAAATTAGCAAATTCAAAAACTTTTATTAACATTTATGAAACGCAATTAAATCGAATTAATGAAGAAATTGATGTTGATTATGTTATAAATACCTTGATTCCCGCAGTGCATGAAGAACATACTACAACATTCAAGAAATATAAAGATAAGAAATGGGAGCAAATTAAATATTCTGATGCATTCCCTTTATGGAAAGGTGTTACAGATATAAGGACTGAGTTAGAATTAATTAGCGAGGTAGTTTATTTGAGTAAAAGTAATCATGCTTTAGAAGATTCTCTTAAACATCTAAACAATATACCAAAATGGGAAGAACGACTTCAAAAATTATCTACAATCGTTGAAATTTTTAAAGTGCCCCTTAAAACTGAGGATTGGCTAGGAAGGTCTTTGAAATGGTTAAGAGAGGATATATTAAGTTTAGGAAAGCTTTCCGAGTTTGTGAATTATATTAAAGAACATAATCCATTGGATAATGAGAATTATTGGGCATTAATTAAAGAGTTATCATTTGCTAGTGAGATTTTAGAATTTTTACAAACCATAGCTGAACATGATATTAAGAATTTGATCAATGGCGTAGATGATTATTCTGACGAACGTCTAATTCAGGAAGACACTGTGTCATCACTCATTCAGGTTAAACAGTTAGTTGTGCAATTGATGCGTAGAAAATATAATAATATTGGCGAATTTCTGAAAGTTTTAGGTAAAATTAGTCATGAAAACCCTTCTTTACCTAGCAAAATTACAATATGCGCTGGCTTTAATATGACATTACAAAATATGTGTGTTATTTCCTATATTTTCATCAATATTATAATTAATATAACTATGCATCTGCATGCTTACATATTTTTTACTTTCGTTTAGGCTTAGGAACATCGAAAATAGAGGAGAAGTGACAGAAGAAAAAATCCAAAATGCAGTATTGAGAGGGATATATACTTTTGAAAAAGATGATAAGAGTGACAAGTTTAATGTAACACTAGTATATCAAACTGACAAAACTGATAAAATGACGTACAATATGTCTGACTTACAAGATTTATGTGGACGTGCTCTACTGATCGTAAAGCATGCAAATATTGGAAGTAGTACTAATACTGATTTAACAGACAAAGAAATTTCAAGGAAAATAATGAACGAATTTGTATTGCAAGTAGATACAGCTCAAGAAATTCTTAACGTTGGGTCCAAACTTATTCAAATGGGGCATTTTTACTATCGACAATTTAAGAAAAAAATTATTGGAACTGAGAAAAGGTTTGGAACTACAGACATTAAAGATTTATTAGCAAAGTTTAAAGCGGATTTATATAACTGGTAATATAATTATTGTACCTTTTTTTTATAATAATATTATAAGATTTTTTACTAATATATTGAACATTAATTATGTAGGAAAAAGGCTGTGGATGAAGCACAAGAACAATATTACTATTTAACATTCTTTCCTGCGCGTCATATTCTTGCCTGTTTTGACTACTTTACGTCTGATGTGCAAAATAATGAGAACACTGAGACCTGCAAAACGCTTATAAAGTTCGTTAATAGCAAAGCAGAATTACCTCCTCGAAAATATCATTCAGGCATTTCACACAACATCAATGATTATTCTCGTACACTTAATGAAATTGGTAAAAAGTTGCAAAGTATTTTTGGAAAACTACCAAAAACAACACGTGAACTTAGAGTTGGAGGCGAACGTATTATTGCCGATGTTGTAGATAGTGGTAAATTATGTGTTGCCTCATGCAGTGATAAATTACGCGTACCAAATATTATTATGAGTTTATATGCTAACCACCGGTAAGTCATAATACAGTATTCAATTATTTAACTTTATAAAAATATTAATATAATAATTACTATGAACATTATATTAAATAGCTCGTATCCCGAACCATGGCAAATCTTGATTTGTACAAAATCAACGACCATGGAAGAACTTAACATTTTCATCAAACGCTGCTTTTTTGCTGCAAATAACGGATATAGAGGAAAGTTATTCTGTATTGCGAATTTAGAGCTACTTGAATTTGAAATGCAGTATGGTCTAGTAGAAAGTATTCGATCAATGCGTGAGAAACAGAATGATTATTTTTTAGCATTAGTATGCTGTCGTGAGGGCTCGTTTCATCATCATATATTAGACCAATTTTCGGAGGATGCCTATCCAACAAATGGTCTTAATGCTGAAACTATGGAAACTATTTATCGCGACCTGTGTAGTAATGTTATTTGTATATCTTCGGACCTATCTGGGCAAGGCAAGACTGAATGGATTAAACAGGCTAGTTTTGAAAAAAAGAAAATTCCGCGTAGTTTTTTGATTAGTGATGGCGCAGATTTTGAAAGTCTTGTTCGTCAACTTAAGGATTGTAAACTTCAACAATTTGAAAGTTTACATATAAATATTGTATCGGCTGATAATTCAAATGAAATCAATATGTTCTTATTTGAATTGTTGACATTAGGGTTTGTGTCCAGTAATGTTGACATAGCAAGTTTTCCACAAATTCCGGTATTTATTGAAGTAGCATCAACTGTTCAACAGAAGCTTCTTAATTCCCTTCCAATAACTGGTTACTTGGTGAAAGAACATTTATCATGGAACATTCGCAATCTTAAAATATCTTTTGAATTATGCAGTCCCATTCAAATTGTGTGTAATTATCTAGACGCACGTGACAGGGATGAAATTGATGCGAGAGATATCGTATTTCATGGTCAAAACTGCATAAAAAAACCATTGTCAGATAAACGATGTCAAGATTTAATAACAAAATACTTCTTTGAAGGAAACGCTGACGGTGTTTCTTCTTTCCGATTTGTAGAAATATTTGTCAATGTACTAGCCGATCAACTTGCTCGCCTTTCATCAAGCGCTTATTTCAAAGTAGAGAATTTAATATTGCTGATTAAGAAAGAGACGTTATTGAGAACAACATTGGTTGATACGTTAATTAACGTCTCTAAAGAGTTTGCGACCAGATCAGTGAAAACCAAAATGGCACAATTAGAATCAATATTTGATGATTATGATGTAAAATTCGAAATAATTCAATGGGATAAATCTATTCATCTTTTAGTCTTATTCATGTCACAAAATCCTGATTCGATTTGTGCATTGTATCGTGAAAGAAATCAGGTTCCTGAAAATGTTAAAAATTTTCTTAAAAGTCAAGTCATGACCAACCCCGACAGATGGGAGTTAGAAGACTATAATCGGATGCCACCTAGCTTGTTATTAAAAAGACTTGAAGGTATAGCACGTCGAACAATGTATGATATTAGACTTCCTCTATATGCGCTGTCGGCTGATAATATAATAAAGATGGCATTGATCTTATTAAGGGCACGTGCAAACGTTCCTGTTGTCGTTATGGGAGAAGCAGGATGTGGCAAGGTTAACTATTTTTATTTCTTTTATTTGCTTAAATAAATAATTATTAATACATTACTTTTATAATGTTTAGTCAAGTTTAATAGGATTTTTGGCTAAGGTAGTCGAAGTTAATTATGAGGCATTCAATCTTCATGCAGGAATTAAGGAACAAGACATATTATATTTCATGGGAAAAGCTCATAAAAGAGCTAATAATGGAGAGATATGGTTGTTCTTTGATGAAATTAATACCTGTAATCATATTGGGTTACTCGCGAATCTGATAGTACATCGTACACTTCAAGGAAAATTAGTGCATCCTAACATTAGACTTTTTGCGGTAATAGTCTTATTTAAAATTTATTCAAATATGTTGTTATTTATATTTATTATGTTATTAACACTTGATTTTTTCAACAAGGCATGTAATCCTTATCGTAAAAGAACTAGGGCTCAAAGTCAAACTGGATTAAAAAATAAGGTTAAAAGATACGAAGAGAGTAATCTTGTATATCAAGTAAAACCGCTTCCAGATCAAATCTTAGATTATGTTTGGGATTATGGTGTTCTTCTCCCAAGTGATGAAAAGAAATATATACAAATAATGGTAGAATCACAATTAGGAGAAAGACACGAGCTGTTTACAGAGCTTTTATTTGCATCACAACAGTTTATTCGTTCAATTGAGGAAGATTATAGTGTTAGTTTGCGTGATATAAAACGAGCAATTAAATTGGTATTATTCTTCAATAAAAGTCTTCAAGATCGTCCAAGATCTGCAAAAGATGCAAACCGCTATCCAAATCCGAACAGTCGTATTGGTTTGTTAATTCGTTGTTATATATTAGCACTTGGTCTTTGTTATCAATGCAGAATATACGATCAAGAATCGCGACGAGAATATCGGCAAGAAATGATTAAAGTTTTCCAAAAGTTTAATGAAACAAAAAGTATTAAAGAGGATGGTTTTATTAAAGTTATTCGAGATGAGCAAGAAGATTGGATTAAAAGGATGCAATTACCACCAAATACTGCGATGAATGAGGCATTACTAGAAAATGTTTTAGTGATGATTGTTTGTATTCTTACCAAGATTCCAGTATTTATTATTGGTGCTCCTGGGTAAGAACCACTTTTTGATGTCAAATAGACTCGTGTTGTTCTAACTTAACACATAATTATTAGTTTTAACTTAACATATAAATTATTAATTCTTTATTTATTTATTAGCTCATCAAAATCTTTAGCGATTAAACTTGTAGGACAAAATCTATGTGGATCAGATTCAAATGATAGATATTTCCGAAAACTCCCTCAGGTTTATAATTAAACAAATTTATAGTTACCATTATATTGAAATGAAGTTAATTTTTTTTTTTAAAAAAAAAATAGGTATACCTGATTTCCTATCAGGGATCATCATCATCTACTTCAGACGGTATCATTAAAGTTTTCCAAAAAGCTGTTAACTATCAGGAAACCAGTTCAAAAGAATTTCCCGTAATGAGTGTTGTTGTTCTTGATAACGGTGAGTTAAAGTAATATTAGTTTTTGTCTCTCTTTTATATTTTAATATCTAATAATTTGTTATTTAGTTGGATTGGCTGAAAATAGTCCACATAATCCGCTCAAAGTACTTCACGCATTACTTGAACCAAATTACCCATCAGATGGACCAGCAGTTTCAGTCGTTGGTATTAGCAATTGGAGATTAGATAATAGTAAAAGCAGTAGAGCTTTATTAGTTCAAAGGTTAGCTTATTTTATTTTTTATTAGTTTCGTTGCTGTCATTATTATATAATTCTTATTTTAACTTATCTGAATTTATACTATTTAATATCAGGCCTAAATTTAGTATTGAGGATTTTGTTGATACTGCGGTTCGTTTACTTGACACCAAATTGCATAATTCTATAACTCGTGCCTCACTTCAACCACTTGCGAAAGCCTATTTAGAGTATGAAGGAATCGGTCAATCACACTCCAATTTCCACGGCCTTCGGGATTACTATGGTTTAGTAAAAAGTTTATCAAAATTAGATCTGTCACCCGAAAATGTCCAAATGGCATTAGAAAGAAATTTTGGTGGCACTGATCGAAATGAAAATCTATGTGAAGAATATTTTGAAACTGTGTTGAGAACATTTAATGATTATCAGAATTGGACATATAATCCAACTTCAATTTTAACCTTGATTAAAGCTAATTTGGATGATGAAAACGCAAGACATCTTATGGTTATTGGAAAAAGTGATTCTATGGTGACTATTTTGACATATCAGTTAATAGAAAAAAAATTAGATCCAGTGGTTATTTTAGGATCGCAATTTCAAGATGACCAACAAGACTATTCCTATAGCGTTTTAAGCAGAATTATGGTAAGCTGTTTATTTAGGTATTTATCTTTAATTTTATGCTTTTTAAATTTTAATTATTCTATTTTAGATGTGTGTTGAAGCGGGAAGACCACTTATCTTGACAGATTTAGAGATTATTTATGGTATTTACAGTGTTTAGTTTATTATTTGTTAAAGTATTTGGTGATTTTTTTTATTGATACAGTATGTTACTATTTGAATTCATAAAGACGCTCTTTATGATTTATGGAACCAGAATTATATTCTATTTGGGAGTAAACATGATCCTAAATATTATACTCGTGTTGCACTCGGAGCATACTCTAATCCTATGCTGTAAGTTACTATGTGGATATACTGTATTTCATTTTTAAAAGATTAATAGAAATATTTAACATTAAATTTTATTTAAAGGCACGTTCATAAGAACTTCAGATGTATTTTAGTTCTTGATGAAAAAAAATTAGCAACAGCTGATCCACCATTGCTAAATAGATTCGAAAAGCAAAGGATGACAATCTATGATACATTTACTGATAATCACCGAAGGCTAGATAAAATTTTAAGCACTTGGGCACAGCAGATGGCTTTTATGGTGGAAACAAATATGTCACAAACTTCTTTTACACTAAATGATCTTTTTATTGGTTTTGATGAAAATGAAACCTTACAAAGTTTAGTTATTGATATCATGACAAAATTTCCTGAAGATGAAGAAAAAGTAATACTTAAGCGATGCAAAGCAGCTTTAATTGATATAGCATCTTCCGATGGAATTATCCGTGCTTCAAAATCAAATGTGGATCCTCGTGAAATTGATCTATGGAAGAATGTCTATTTCCGCAACTTTACCGATGAACATATTCCCGCACAGTGTCATGATAGTCTTAGTGCTTTCCTTGCGTGCCTTCTATATACATCAAATGCTGTAATGTCGAGAATTATTATCAACACATTTTCTAATATTAATACAGATGTTGCAGGATGTTTAAAGGATCTCATCACATGTCAAGTAGATAAGTTATCAACATTTAAGACTGAGGCTCAGCTTCAAAATCGAATAAAACGGTTTTGGGAGGAATCAAATGAACAAATGCTAATTCTTCAATGTGATGTTACTACCGTAAATGCTGGGTGTATTAAGTTAGCGAAATTTATTATTGAACAATTTCAGAATGAATTTATGAGAAAAAATCCAAAAAATCCTAAATATGTTTGTATTATTCTTCATATTCAACGAGATCAAAAATATATGTCTTCATTTAATTTTATGTGCGGATGGAAACAAGTTACAATTGAGACTTTAACGCAACAAGAGAGAAATTTATCAACTATCTTAAATGGTTCTTTAACTGATATTATTTCGAATGAATACAAGTTTGAGGAAATCTTGGAACATGAATTATTATGGTGTTTATTATGTATAAAGTATCCATCTACATCAAAGTCAGTTGATCATATAAAGTGAGTCTAATTTTTTTTTTTTTTTTTTTTGTTATACATAATGCATAATAATAATAATAATAATAATTTATAGAACTTTGAAGGCAGATTTGATGAAATGTTCTTTTCTTATTGAGTGCTTAAAGGAACGTGCATTAAACTGGATAGAGGAAAACTCTACAGATGGTTGGCAATATCAGGTTGCATCGGATAAAAGATTATTATATCCGTATCCTTCTTTTTCAGCAGCATTACTTGCTTATCTTCGATCATTAGTCAGACATCCGATCGCCAAATTGTTATTTGCTCTTGAGAAATTGTCACTCACCAAAACTTTCATATCAATTAATCATCAAAAAAAGTATCAAACTTTAATTTCATTTCTGCAAAAGATGTTCTTTGATCCAAATGTCTTAAGTATTAAAGATTTACCTGAACCGAAACCTGATCGATATGTGATGTCGGAACATTTTTATGATTTAAAATTCCCATTTTCATATTATTTTATGAAAAAGATTAATGAATTCAGGGTTACATGGGAAGATGAACTTGCAAGACTTTGTGAAGATCCAGCAAATTGTGATGATAATCAAGAACTTTCACACGATGCTTTTGAAAATGCTGTTAAAGGGTTTAGTGCTAATGTTATGACATCACTTCCAGCCATTAACGAGCAAATTTTTAGAGATTTTTCAGATTTATATTTTAAGGATTTCGTAACAGTTATAGTTGCAAATGATGCTGATATGAAAGATCCTAATTTACTTGAGAAATTGTTACAGCAACTTATCGGAAGAACCAACGTACTCGATCCAGTTCTTCTTCATATTTATTGGTGGAAACATTCTAATGTTGTATCAGCAAATTTACAATTAGCGCAAATGTGTCCATTAGCTATTACCGAATTTGTTAGAGAAAGATCAGATATTACTTTTGAAGAATTTCTTATTGATAAAGTAATAAAAACGAAGCTTGATCAAATTGTGAGAAAAGACAGTGCACCTCAGTTAGATCAATGGCAACACGAAGTTGTCAAAATTTTATCACTTAGCGCAAAGGTTTTAAAAACAAATAAATTAAGATCATATCAATTATTACGTATTTGCAATGATATTGTATCATCAAAATTAATAGAACTACCAAATATTAAGGATATTATAAAATTGGGGCTAGCTTCCGATGAACAAAATGTTTTATCGAAAAAATTTATCGATCACGTGTTAGGCATTTTGTCTAAGCTTGAGAAAACTGAGCAAAACCTAATTCTACAAAGATCATTTATAATGAGTTGTCTTAACACCATTCCATTGGAATCGAACGTTAGACAAAGTCTTTATAATAATATCTTTTCACAGGATCCTTTTCCACTTATGGGATCAATAATTACCAAAATATTTTGGAATGAAGAAGAAGACGCATTTTTACGAATCTTGCGAGATACAAGGGAGATATTTCAGGCTTCACCTCGATTAAAAGTGATTAATTCAGCTTTGAAATCAAAAAGTTTGGATTCCTCAATGGCTACTTTATGTTGCGATATTATTCAAAAAGAATTCTTTCTTTATATGGATATTCCGGAAATGGCACAATACTTTGGGCATGCTGTTCAAGCTTTATTAGAAAAAACCGTTGAACCTTTAAAACGCATATCAGCGATCGCTTTCCTTAAAGAATTTGTCTCCTGTATGTGGAATCAAACACTTCAAGATGACTATACATTACCAATTTCGTTCATTGGCATAATGGAAGTTGGTGAATTTGATGGCGACGTACTTATTGAAGAAATCAATATTTATATGACTATAGACGATCCATTAATTCATTCTTTCAAAGTCTACTTTCTTCGTGAATTACGTCATAAAGGCCTTTCAATTGACGACTTAAAACGATTCTGTGCAACGCATACGCCTAAATTTCCTTGGCTGTCCACCTTTAAATGGAATGATAATAAAGATACTCGTCTTCCATTTAATCCATATTGGCAACTACCAGAATATCGCCAAGCAGAAAACGCTTTTAAGGAACTTTACAGCATTAATAATAAAGCTTTATTTCAGACTTTTATACAACAATTACAAAATGCTAATGCATTTCGTGCAAGAATCGCATTGATTGGACTTATTATGTCTCGCCTACATGTGGTTAGGGCATCACGTGAATGGGGTGCACCAGAAATTCAAGCTGCGGATTTTTTGAAAGTTGTTAATACTATGAATAATTTGTCAACTGGATATAGACAAATAATAGGAAGAATACTCTCAAACAATCAAACATTTCTTCGTTTAGATAATTCTATAGATAATAGCAATTTGTTGTTGAAATCGGTTATTGCTCATATTATAGCATTGCATGCTTCAATTCCGCCAGACTCCACTCCATTTGCGGCATATTTCCATAAGATAGAAACGTGTCAAAACACGTTTATTTTAGCAACGGTTTCTGATATTGAATCATTAATTTTAAGTGCTGTAGTAAACGGAGGTGGAGGACCAATTACTCGGTAAAATATTTAAATGCTGTTTTTAATGATAATCGATAAAACATTATTAAATTATATTATTTTTTATTTTATAGGTATTCGTGTCAATGTGGATATATATATGTAATTGCTAACAGCGGTCATGCTGTGGTAGCGAGAAGATGCCCAGAATGTAAAAATAATACAATCGGCGGACAAAATTATAGATTAGCAGCTGGTAATCGAAAATTAGATAACGTACCAATAACTGGACCTATAAAATCCAAAGATCAACCTGGATACATTGGAGAGCCAGTTAATAATGAGATTAATCATTCTGTTCGGTCTATGACACCTTGTTCTTATAGAATCTTGCATTTAATTGTCCATGCCCTAATTGGCTCCTCTGCTCACATTCCGGCAACATTAAATTTCTTGCGCAAACATAACCAAACAGCGACTAACACTGAACAATATTGTTTGGGCCATATAATTACTGATTGGAAGGTTCTTAGACAAATCCTTAATTGTTCCGATGAAAATTTGGCATTGTTATTCCATTCATTAATTACAACAATAACCCATACACCCCCGCCGGCATCAATGCTAAGGACACAGGCTGAACGTGAAGATTGGGAAACGCACTTTACTCGAAATTATGTTTCTCCGTTAATTAGAAGTGTTACCGAAACCGTAACAAACTTTCGCACGGCGTTAGACGCTGCAGCTGCGGGTCAAGGAAATATCATTGAATCTGAAATTGATCAGACAAGAGCGATAGATGATGAATATCGACTTTCAAATTTACCACGGCTTTGGCGTAAAATTGACTCCATCAATTTTAATAGTTTCCGGGCTTATTATAACGGAGATTTGGTGCAATATCAAGCAAAATATCCATTCCTTGCAGTATTCTTTAAATATATTGAACAATTAGAGATTATTCAGAAACTTTGGCCAATTGTACAATTTGTGCAGATATTGTCTTCGCGCCTTTCCTATCGAATTAGCAGAAAAGATGCAGAAAATATGACCTTTGCCGAATTTATCGACAAGGAAGCGGACAGGGCTGATTTAATTTATATGTTTAAAAAATTTGAAGAATCTTGGAATGAAATAATTGATAAAGTTGATAGATATCAATGTTATGAATTACCTCAAAAACCAATGATGAATCGCAACATGTGTGTTATTATGGGGTTAGTAGAAGCCAAAGACAATAGTATTTACCTTTGCGCAATTTTAGAATATTTAATTACCTTGCAAAATAATTTCTTGCAAGATGTTATGACCATTCCTCCTGGTTCTTGTAGAGCTCTCAAGTATTTGGAACAAACGTCATTTAATGCCGACGAAGGAACTTCGACTGCTACAACTAGTCAATATTCCATTCGTACATTGACACTTAATAAAGCTCGTAGTGATAACATTATAGTATATAATCAAGAAGAGTTTAGAGGAATTCATATGTTTAGCCAAAGAAATTTAGGAGTTGGGCGTGGCCTTGATGTTATTTATGATTTACAAAAAATAGAAGTTGAACTTGCACGACAACTTGTATTTGAAAAGGTTTATATAGATACAGTAGGTGAAAATTCATTGTACATGGAACCTTTTACATATCATATGGAATTATTTCAAAGATCGGCACGTATTCTTGGAGATATTCAAGATCTAATTCCTCAAGAACCAATTCCTCCTGAACAAGTGGAACTGCTTATAGGATCTTCAACGAATTCGCCATATGCATTCCAGTTAAACAACATAGATACATCGTTTGACAATCCATCAGAAATTCTTTCATCTTTAGAAATTTTGCTGTGTTTTATTAAACGAACTCCTGGCTGCAATTGTGAAATTCTTATAAAAGAATACGTAAACCAGTGGACAGCACTTTCTGGACTTAATAACAATCATGAATTCCGTACCTTACTAAACAAACCTTTTAAACTTAAGCATATAATATCTTTGTATGAGTTAATAGAGGGACAAGTGGCAAATTTAACAATTGATTATATCCATGATAAATACGCGGAAGAACTTACCCCTGAACAACGAGAAGAAATAAAAAAGATTATAGACTTTGAAGCTAAACAACCTGCAACAATGATTAATGGAAAAGTTATGAAAATTTCTGCTGAGACAGTTGCTACAGCACTAAAAAGATTTATTTATAGATTTTTACAAGGCGAAAATCAAAAGGAGACTGATCCTCTTTATCTTTATGTTTGTGATTCATCACTGCATTTTTGGCCACCTATAATTTCTGAATCAGATCTGGATGAATTGTTTCCACAAAGCTTATTAGTTAGTCAAGCACTTGTAGCTTATAAATATGTTATTGATCAAATTGATGTAATTATTTTAAAAATTACTAAAAAAGTTTTTATTCTATTACTATAATATTAACATAAATATTTTTTTTTTCTTATTATAGGTTCATATACAAATAGCGTCTCAACGAGAACAACAAATACAACTCCAATTAACCAATCCTGAGGCTAATAGAAGGGTACCCCCGACTCCCGTACCTCAACCGTCTGCAAGGAGGAAACAAAAAAGATTTAATGATTATGTTTAAATATTACAATTTATCACCAACTCAACAACATTAAAAATAATTTGATAACAATAATAGTTTATTAAACTAAAATTACAGGCTTTAAATTATTATTAGTTTTAAATAACAAAATATACATAGCCTCTAAATATTTGAACAATAATTAAATAGCTTATAAAAAGATAAAGAATTTACTGATCACCGGTGTGTAATTAGCCAATAAATTTGCAGGATCAGGTGTAATATGCAAATTGATTTTTTTTTAATATCTCAAGAATTCGCCTATGAAACCACCTTAGACATTCTAACAAAAAAAATTTTTTATAATTAAAAATTTTTAAAATTTTATATATTCTTAAAAAAAATTTTTAGCTCTAAAATTAATTTAAATTTTTATAATTAAATCATAAAAATTGTAATATGTAATTGTTTTTTTTGATAAATTCTATATAATTCTAATTTTAAACAAAGCAGATAGCTAATAATTAGTAAGTTTATTAGGCTATATAAAATTATATATTTGGTTTTTATATCACGGAATAGTAGCGCATGGCTTTTTTTTTTTTTTTTTATGAAAAAAAATTTTTAATTAAAATAATAGTAAAAAAAAAAATATTAGATGTAGTAAAACTAATTTTTAAAGAATCATACTATAACTTTAGATATGTTTCAAGCTAATTTTACTTAATATTAACTAATAAATAGTTAAAACCAATTTTTAACTAAATTAAAAACTTGTAATAAGATAAATAATTAATCAATTTTTTTTTTTTTTTTTATTAAATATGATATAATAATGCTGATACTTATCTATGAGAGATAAATAAATTTACTTACCTCTGCTAACTCACGAATGAGAGTGTTCACTCGGGTTCAAGCACTAAACCATATATTTACATTCCTAGTATGAAAAATTCTATTGGTTAACTATATAAAAAAAAAAAAATTTTACAAACACCACTTCACTGACGCGAACAGGATATGAAAACCAATTGTATAATTTTATGTGGCCTTATTAAGAATAAGTAATAAAATTTTTTGAATAAAAAAATTTCTTTAAAGTCATATAATTTTAGTATATAAACAGCTTACTTTTTTTTTTTTTTTTTTATAAAATAAAAACAAATATTACAATTATATAATACTTATTTTCAAATATTATCAAAAAAAATTTTGGAAATTCTTAATATTTCAGAAACCTGTTTATTTCATAAGTGGAACTGCATGAATGCGATCTCTGTCGCTCAAAATTAATTACTGATAGTTAGCGAGAGAATTTGGATTGGTCAATGATATCAAGTGATTGAAGATTATCTATCAAGTTTTTGTGAGAGTAATTCTTTGTGTATATTCGCTAAATTCATTCATGTTATCGGTAATTTCCCGCATCTCTGTAGACCGTTTTTGAATCCAATTTTCGCAAAAAAAGGTTAAGAACATAATCGTGTTTCACTATAGAAAACACAAAGAACTGTATGTAAATTACAAATGACATTATTAGTAAATGCTGCCCGTCCCGTGCGTTCATATGATTATTGTTACAAATAAAACGCATTCACGCTACATGTAGCATATACAAAAATTATTAGCGTTAGTCACATTAGAAATATTAGAAATATATGTTACAATTTTTTCTAACACTAACGCTAACGTTAAAATATGGATTTACCAATCTATCGGATTTGTGCCGCTTACATAATACGGCATTTGATGAAATAGCTTAATTGGATAGAATGTGTGTTGATCGAAAAATCTCAATCTTCTCCAAATGTCTTGCTATATTTTAATGGTATTAATAAAATTTACGTCATTTGAAATTTGTTATTGGATTGATTTTAATTTTAATTTTAAATCATTAGGTCGCTGAGAAGCCTTCTTTGGCCGAAGCAATAACAAAGCTTTTAGCCCCTCATGGCCAGGTATCATTAATCAGAATTCAAATTATTATAATTAATAATTAATTCAATTGATAATTATACAATAATTAACGTTAATAATATATTATCATATTAACAGTATAATACTAAAAAGCTAATCTCTCCGGTTCATGAATATTATGCCGATTTTCGTGGTACTATGAGCAAATTTAAGTTTACTTCTGTCAAAGGTTGGTTAGATTATTATTATTATTATTTTTTTTTTAACAATAAATAATTTTATTTTAATTTTAACTTTAAAACGTTAATAACTTTTAATAAATTTTATTAAATTAGGACATGTTTATGGGTATGTTTAAAAATTAAAGTAAAAATCCATTAATATTTAATAATTAGTTATATATTGTTTTTAGTTTGGATTTCACAAAAGAATTTAATAGTTGGAATATTGATCCATTGAAATTATTTACTGCTCAAACAATAAAGCAAGAAACTTCAAAGGTATTACCTATAAGTTATAAGAATAGATCCTAATCAGCTTAACTATTATCAATGTTAATTATGTTCTCATTTACCGTAAAATTATCTTTAGTCTGGAAGTATTTGCCATCATTTACAACAAGAATCAAAAGGCAAGCCATATAAAAATGACTACTGAAATAATTTATCTTTTATCCTGAGAATCTTTATATGTTAAATTAGATGTCGATTATGTTATCCTTTGGTTGGATTGTGATAGAGAAGGTGAAAATATATGCTTTGAAGTTATTAAAAATGTTCGTCGTAGTATGAAACAACCACCTAATGGTCAATCTAAGGATAGTCGGATTTTACGTGCAAAGTTTTCTGGTATATATATACTATATTAATTAATGTTTATCTACTGGATTATGTGTCTTTATAATTTTATGAAAAATTTCTTTTTTTAGCTATCACTGCAACTGATATTCGTAAAGCAATGGATAACCTGATTTTTCCAAATAAAAATGAATCTTTGGGTTTGTGTTAATTCTCATATTTTTATGTTATCTAAATAATTTATTTAAAAACCTTATCTTGGTTTATTAACTATTTACAGCTGTGGATGCACGTCAAGAATTGGATCTCAAAGTAAGCCATAGAATTATTGTATTTAATCATAACAAATATAACAAGTATAATAAGTGTTAAATTAAAATTTTTTTATATCAGATTGGTTGTGCTTTTACGCGATTCCAAACGAGATTTTTTAATGGAAAGTACGGAGATCTTGATGCTAATGTAATATCCTATGGACCTTGTCAAACACCTACACTATCTTTTTGTGTTTCTCAACATGATAAGATTAAATCGTTTAGTCCAGAAACATTTTGGACTCTATCAGTTTCTGCATCTAAACAAGATGTTAAAGGTGAACAATATGGTTCTGAAATTTCTCTAAATTGGGATAGAGTTAAATTATTCGATAAACATGTTGCAACGATATTTCTGAATATTGTCAAAAGTTATAAAGAGGCCAAGTAAGATCTTTCTTATTTAATTTGTTATTAAATAATAATTTCATTTAATTTATTATTAATAATAATTTCAATTTAATTTATGATTAATAATAATTTCATATTTAATCAAATCTTAAGAGTAATATCAATTTCTTCAGAGAAAAAGACAAAAAGCAGACCAAATGCTTTAAACACTGTCCGTAATTTCTTCTTTTAACTCTTCAACATAACTTGTTAAAATATTTATTTGATAATAATCTTTTTTAATATTATAGGTTGAGTTACTTAAATTTGGTTCTTCATATCTTGGTATCGGTCCTCATGAAACTGTAAGCTTAACAAGAATTCATACTATTCATTAAAATTCTTTAAAGGACTGATGTAACTATTTTTGTTGGGTGGATGTATAGATGCTCGTAGCTGAACGGCTTTATACTCAAGGATATATTTCTTATCCACGTACTGAGACTACTTCTTATCCAAAAAATTTTGATATAAAATCTGTTTTAAAGAATCAATCAAAACATCCACTATGGTAAATTATTTATAAATTGATGAAACTTAATAAATATGATTTAATTAAAGACTTACAATTATTTTATAGGGGCTTACATGCAACGGAATTGTTGGAAAAAGGATTTGACTGGCCAACAGGAGGCACTGATGCTGGTAATTATATAAAATTCGATTTAAAAGATACATCTTAAAGGGAGTATTGCATTATAATTAATATTTTAAATTCAGGTGATCATCCACCCATGTATGTATCTTTTGTTATATTTAAAATCATGACGAATAACATTAATTTCTAAATTTCTAATATATTAAATACAATCGCTTTAGAACGCCTATGCGTGTGGCACAAGAAAGTGAATTATCAGGAGATTTATGGAAAATTTATAATTATGTAACGCGACATTTTCTTGGTTCAATCAGTTCTAATTTAAAATATCAAAAGACAAATGTCATTATAAAGATTGGTCACGAAACTTTTGAGTGTTCAGGTAATTCATAAACATCTATTATCTAAAACTCTATATGTTATAGTATATTAAACTATTCTACATATGCAGGCAAAAAAGTATCGCATCCTGGATTTTCTTCAGTTATGCATTGGTATGAGTTTTATTATAATCTTAATTTTTGATATCAAATTATACTTACTAATTTATTTTGGTATATACATATATATATATAGGAGAACAATGTCGGATCAAATTATGCAAGAATTTCAAAAAGATGAGGTTTTAAAAATTATAAATGTAAAATTGGTCGAAGGACAAACAAGTCCTCCCGATTATCTAACAGAAAGTGAAGTAATTAGTTTGGTATGAACAATTTATTTATCGTAATTTTTGAAATATAAATATACTTAAATTTTATTTTAAATGACTTCTTAATATTTAATTGTTTGTAGATGGAAAAAAATGGTATAGGAACAGATGCTTCCATACCGGTTCATATTAATAATATATGTCAACGAAATTATGTAACGGTAAATTATCTCTCTGTGTGAAGAATATATAAGAATATACAGTATACTTATTTTATATCATAGGTTCAAGGCTCTGCGCGTAGATTGGTTCCTACTAATTTAGGTAATAATTATTTATTTTACGCGTTATTTGCTTATTTAATAGAATATTAAATTTACCAATTTGCTATTATTATTTTATTTAAAGGGACTGTTTTGATTCACGGGTAATAAGAGTCGTATATTATATTATATTATATTGGAATTAGATATTTATTTATTTATTTATTTATTTTAACTATTATTTTGTATTATTATTACATAAAAACAGATACCGTATCCTTTATAATTAATATTGATTTAAAAATGTTTTATTTTTTAAGATCTATATTTGCAATTAACATTTATATAGAAAAAATCGATCCAGATCTATCACTTCCAACAATGAGAAGTGACGTTGAAAAGCAATTAAATTATATAGCATTAGGTAAAGCTGAATATACAGAAGTGTTGGAACATTCTTTAAAATTGTTTGCTGCAAAGTTTGATTACTTTAGAGAGAATGTTTGTTTTTATAATTATTATTATATTATTACTATTTTTTTTTTTTTTTTTTGATTAAATTTATGAAAATAACTATTGTGTACTACTCTTTACAATTATCAGATTGGTCAAATGGATGAATTATTTGAAGCAACTTTCTCATCTCTTGCTTCAACTGGAAAAATACTTTCAAAATGCGGGAAATGTAAACGGTATTTATTTTTTTAAAAAAGGTATTATTCATTATATTATTTTATATACTTACTTTTATTTTTTTAAAGTTACTTGAAGTATATTTCGTTAAAGTATGTATTATATTTAATTTTTTATTCTAGTATAATACTTATTCATTTAGCTTTTTATTTTTAATTTACCAAGACCTGTGCGTTTGCATTGTTCAACCTGTGATGAAACATATTCATTACCTGCAAATGGACATATTAAGGTATTTTGTCACTTTATTATTCATGATTTATTTTAATATCTTTTCTATTATTATTCATGATTTATTTGTTAACTTCCTTTTATTCAATTACTTTTACAGGATTATAAAGGACTTCAATGTGTAAGTAAATATCAACTTGTATATTTCATAAAACCATAAAGTTAATCACTCCTTATTCTCATATTTAGCCATTTGATGATTTTGGACTTGTATCATTTTCCACTGGCTCTAAGGATATTGGTTATCCATTATGTCCATATTGTTATAATCATCCACCATTTGAAAATATCAGAAAAGGTAAACCAATCTAAAATTTTTTATTTTATTTTTTATTTTTATATATTTAATATTTTTTAATTAATTAGGCATGGGATGTAATCGTTGCCCTCATCCTACTTGTGAACATTCATTAGTTAATAATGGAATTTGTTCATGTCAAGCGAATTTATGTAAAGGTCAAATGGTATTAGATGCAACTTCTGCTCCTAGATGGAAATTATCTTGTAATGAATGTAATTTTGTTTCCGCATTTTTGGATATGGTTAAAGGTAATATATATATTTCAAAAAAAATAAAATTTTATTTTTACCATAATTCATCATTGAAAAATCGGTTACATAAAAATATCAATACTTATTAATATTTTTTTGCAAAACGTTCAATTTTTTTTTTTTTAGGTGTTTCCATATCAAAAGATGATTATTGTGAAAATGAAGAATGTAATTCATGTATATTAAAAATTGAATTTCGAGAAAATCAAAATAAGAAATCTCTAAAAGGATGTGTTTTATGTGATGATGAAATTGCAGAATTATTAGAAAACAAGTAAAATATAAAATTTATTATTATTATTTTTTTCACTTGCTTTACTTTATAATCATTATTAATTTCTTTTATTTTTAAGGTTTGCAAAGAAAGGCGTTGCTTATAGGGGAAGGGGTAGAGGAGGTCATAGGCGTGGAAGGAGAGGTCGAGGTCGAAGTCGTGGTAGAAGGCGCGGTGGAAGAAGATAATTTTTTAGATGTAATAATTATTTTTAAAAAAAAAATATTTGATTTTTTTTTTTTTACAGTATAATATTATTCAATATTATTTTTTTTTTTTTTTTATATATTTGATAATAAAACTTTTATAAAAATACGAACAAACTTTTTTACTAAAGATTAAACCGCAATCTAGAGATTGTAACCGCCGAGAATTTCTTTAATCGTTTAACCGTTTAACTCAGCTGACGTTAAGATAGCCTTGGCTAGTGATGGGCATGCGCGGGATCCGCGCGGGATTTTTAATATAATCACCAATTCAGGCCAGCCGGCCCGCATTAACATAATTTTAAGAAACTCACGATGTAATCCTATCCCGCGTAACCCGCATCACGCGCGGGATATTTTGGAAAACCGTGATTTGCCCATCACTAGCCTTGGCCCACATTAAGATAGTCTTGGCCCATGTGCGGCACCCAAAAAATTTTGATTCCGTGATCTACACAAAGATTCTCTTTTTAAAATTTTGAAATTCGCTAATTTTTTTTGGACATTTTTTTTATTGACGATCCCTTAAAATTATAATTCTTTGTCTACAAAGAATAGCATGGTGGACATCTTCATATTTAGTAATGATCGACACAATTTAATAAAAAAATTTTTTTCGTTTTTTATATGCTTTAAAGTACTTTTTATTCCTGTGATTTTTTAAAAAGTGCTTATTAGATTTAGCTAACAAAAGAAAGCAACTGAAAATCCTTCGAATAACCTATATACTGTTAAAAAATTAATCAAAAATAATCACAATATTTAAAAAGTTTTATTAGAAACAAGTTTTATAAAGATTAAAGGTAATTTAAATCCTGAGTTGAGTAACAAAAGCTTTTTAGTCATATTTTCAATATTAAAAAAAGAAAGAACTACATAACTAAGATCTAGTATTTGTAAGAGAAACAAAAAATAAACACATATGATATTTACTGTATATATAGAACAGAGTAAAAGGATAAGTTAACAAATTTTATAATTCTTAAATTATAAAATATTACATTATAACAAAACTATTATTTTATTAGTTAAATATATTAATTTTTAATTATTAGAATATGTTTATTAAATATTTTATAGAAATAATATGTAAATATATATATAGAAAAAAAAATTTTGCAAAGATGAATAGAAGTAAAATAAAGGATTGTTTTATTATTAATATCTCATGATACAGTAAACAAAATTTGATAATTTTTATATCATTAGATTCGTCTTAATAAGATGAATTGAATAGTATAAAAATTATTAAATTCTACTTACTATATTGTGAGATATCTTTGAATTTGTAAAATAAAATTTTAAAATATCATAATACTATTTATAAAATTTAATTAGCTATTATTATGTACTATTATATAACCAATTATAATAAGTAATTTTTCATGTTTTTATTAGATTAATTGATCTGAGTTATGAGTTTTAAATTTAAAAAGTTTGTATAATAATAGATATCTACTATGCTATTCTCTATTAGATATTGAATAATCAATTAAACATTTATATTACTATAAAATATTCTAAAAATAAAAAATCTTATAAGAAAACTAATATTTAACTAATTACTCTACTTTCTAACTGAAACTAATAATGCCTTTTAAAACTCAAAACTTTTAAGAGTATTAATATTGAAACTGTCTCAAAACAAGTTTTAACAAAATTTTATTTTCAAAACTTTTTGAAACTCAAAATTCATATTAAAACTTGAAACTTATATCAAAACTCAAAACTTGTATCAAAACTTAAAACTTGTATCAAAACTTGAAACTTGTATTAAAACTAGAGTACAGGACAAGTTAGGTTTAACCTGAAATTTTATAGATCAGATTAGGTTTAGATCTGAGTTAGGTTCAAATTATAGACCTGTTATAAATCAAATTGAGTTCAAGTTAGGCTTATTAAAGTATCAGATCAGATTTAGGCTCTGTTTATTAACTCATAAAACCAAATCATATCTGATATAATTTAAAAAGATCTTATCTAAGAATTATACTTTGAAAAGCAATTTGCTCAAATCTAATGTTAAAATTATTTTATTTCACAGGTCTTATATGACTTTTTTCATTTACTTATTAGCATAAGGTTGTTATATATGATATTATTAAGTTATTTAACTTGTGAATATATTTTAGAACTCTATAGTATTTTTTAAATTATTTATTTTAATTATAGTTATTTTCATAATTCCTAAAACACTTGATAAAAATTTGATTAGTATTGATATAAATTACAATCCAACTTTATATACAAATAAAAGTAAATATATAATTAATATATAGTACCTTTTTATATTTCTTATTAAGATTTATTGATATACTAAATATGTTGAATAAGCTTTTGAAGAAATTTAATTATATTGATATTATAGTTATAAATGATCTATAAAACAGTCATTATACAAAACAGTTTTTTAGTATACAGGTTATACTGAAATTACAAACTTAATTGAATCAGCAAAAAAATCATTAAGTTAATTTTTAATAGTTGTTCTAGGAATTATGAAAATAGCTATAAGTTTAGTTCTAATTTTCAAAGAATTATAAGGTTAGAATAATCATATAACTGCACTCTTAATTGATGATAACTTTTGTATATATGTTGGGAGAATATCTAAATTAAAATATACATAACCAAATACTATCAGCTATAAACTAATACTAGAACTATAAACTACAAATAGGTGAAACCCAAAAAAGTAGGCTAAAAAAAGATATAAAATAATTGGTCGAATCTTAGGACTTTCATAGTGCTATAAAGATTACAAGAAATGCAGTTAGAATTTAGATAAGTTTTTTTTATAACTCTACTTTCATTTCTTATTTCTCTTTTAAATAGTACTAATAGTATTGTTCTATTCTTTTAATATAGTGAAGTTAGAATTTACTATACTGATCATAAATTTTAATTCAAGGTACTATGATTTGAGTATGATTTGATAATATATAATATAGTAATAAGGTAATATAAATTATAGCTTTAATCAATTTATAGATTTTATATAAATATGTAATTAATAATTTTTTTATTTCTTCTTTTTGAAAATCAAATAAGAAACTTTTAGTGAAAAATTATAAAACAAGGATAATGATAGAATATAAATAATAAATATTATTTCTATTTGAATACTTCTAAGTTTTGAAACTCAACTAAATTAAATTTTATTAAAGGTAAATTCGAGTTGCTTATATACTTTTTAATACTATAAAATAAATTTATAAAATTCAGCTAATTAATTCTATTTATATTTTCTCTGCTATTCCACTTTTTGTTTTGATTTAACTAATTTATTCAATCTATTTGATTTACTCAATTTATAAAATTTATAGAGAAATTTTGCATCTGTGCTATGCTAATTGCATATCATTTCTAAGAGGAGTAAATCTGATCTGATACTTAACTTGCATCCTGTATAGAAATAAATATAACTTATTTAATTACCAAATTAGTGTGACAATTGAAGCCTACAAAATCCTATAAATTTCACATATTAGACAATAGTAATATATAGGATCAAAAGCAATAATTATTAATCATCTGAATTTTCTCATCTTCAGTAACATAACTTTTTTTGGTATATACTATATATGCTTATAAATCATCTAGATTTTCTCATCTTCAATAAAATAATTCTTTTGCATATACTATATTATTATCATGAAATAATAAGTATAAATATTATTTAGAAAATTATGTCTTTGAAATAATATATATACTTACAAAATAGTTTATACATTCAAAAATAATATCTACTCTATATTAGAGTTTTAACAAGTAATTATATAACAAAAAAAAATTTTACAAAATATAGTAACATCTTAGCATACTCTAAATATATATATATATTCAAAATAATATATAAGTAGATATTATTTCATAACAATATAGTATATAATCTTTAATAATATAATTTTTTCTTGTATATACTGAAATATCTATTAATTGTCTGAATTTTCTAAATAATTCTCTTATATATATCATATTTTTTCAAAATAACAGTTTAGAAAATCAGGTTCCCTAAAAATAGTATATATTAGAATTTTAACAAGTAATTAGATACAACAAGTATGTTAGGAGAAATTTTATCTTTATTTCAAAATAATATCTATAGATCTAAATACCACATAAGTAGGTATTATTTTATAATAATATAATATATACATATATATATATATACTTATCAATTATCTGTATTTTCTTATCTTTTTTTTTTTTTTTTTTTTTTTTTTTTTTTTTTTTTTTTTTTTTTTTTTTTTTTTTTTTTTTTTTTTTTTTTT